TCGACAAAGGTGAAAGCAGATGTCAAATCAGGTAAAAGGCTGGACTAAAGTGCCAAAGGTATTTCTCATCGATGACATCGATGAAAAGGATGATAAGTGTCAAGTCAGAAAGCTTGACGAAGGTCCCTATTTCCGGAGGACAGGTGTCAAACGGAGGAAAGCTCGATGACGGTTATCATCCCGAGAGACAAGTGTCAAACGAAGAAAAAGCTCGATGACGGTTATCATCCCGAGAGACAGGTGTCAAACGGAGAAAAAGTTCGATGACAGTTATCATCCCGAGAGACAGGTATCAAACGGAGAAAAAGCTCGATGACGGTTATCATTCCGAAGGACAGGTGTCAAACGGAGAAAAGTTCGATAACGGTTACCATACCAAAGGACGTGTGACTAATAAAGAAAAGTTCGATGACGGTTGTCGCCTTAGAGAACTAATGGGCTCGACGACGGGTATCGTTCCAGAGAATAAATGGCCCCGATGACGGTTATCATTTCAAAAGATAAAAAGGGTTCGGTGAAAGTTATCATACTAAGGACAGATGTCAGCACAGGAAAAGCTCAAGAGCGGTTATCACTTCATCGAATAACAGTTGATAAACAGGTGTCATTAAATGAACGTTGAAGATGAAATCAACGATAGATATCGGATACAACACCAAGGACGGTTACCAAGTCTGTGCTATAAATAGCGTATGATTATCAACAGAAGAGCCCCCCGCGCACAAAAAACAAAAACAAATGTTGTCTTTTATCCTTACTTTCTCGTTCAGCACTTTTAGTTTCCATAGCTGTAGTCCTTACTTTCCAGTTTCGTACTTTCAGTTTCCATAGCTGTAGTTGTTTAGGTCCTTATGAACTTTGGACGCCGCCAGTAATTGGATGGTTTCGTCCGAATATTCTGTAAAAATCAAGTTTTTTATTCACGCTTGGATTGCTCCTATCCGGAATTGGATCTAGAACCCAGTCTCCTTTCATTAAGAACCGAAGAACGACTTTCGGTGAATTATATTTTCGTCGCGAGAACATTTCCGACGAAACAGTTAGAAGTTCTTTAAGGAGGTCTTCTTTCTCCCTCCGAGGGGGATTGAAGGGGGAAATGAAAACGATTCAAACGTTAGAAGATATGTTGAGATTCGCGTTATTGACTTTGGTGGCTCATGGGACAAACACCTACATTTGGCAAAGTTCCCCGATAATAACAACCATCATTACAACATTAAGATGGCTCCCTTTGAAGCTATGTATGGTCGAAAATGCACAACTCCTGTTTGTTGGTATAATGTTGGTGAGAGAAGACTCACTGGCTCAGAGTTTATCTAGTAGTCAAAAGAGAAAGTTAAGCTGACTCGAGAGCGTATGAAAACGACGCAAAGCTATAAGAAAAGTTGTGCAAACCTTAGAAAGCCCAAATTGGAATTTAGTGCGGGAGATCACGTGTTTTTTAAAGTCTCTCTATGAAAGGTATTATGAGGTTCAACACATGTGGCAAGTTGAGTCCAAGTTATGTGGGATCATTCTTGATTTTAGAGAAGGTTGGCCAAGGTTCTTACAAACTAGCTTTACCACTAATGCTCTCCGATGAACATAATGTGTTCCATGTCTCTTTGTTATGGCAATATGTGCCAAGTCCTGAGCATGTGCTAGATTTAACACCTTTTAGGTTAATGGAGAAATTAACTTATGAGAAGCAAAAATTTCACGCTCAAGCTCCGCATAATGGATAGCTAGAGCTTTGAATAAATACGTTGGAAAAGCATTTTGTTGGCACACAAGATTCATTTTGTCAGTGATTAAGTTTACTTTAATTGAGTAGTAGTTAAGGTAACTTGCTACTTGATTTTGGTATCGTTTTTCAATTAATTAATAGGAATACGAGTTCATCGACTCAAGTAACCTTCGTAGCTTGGTTTTAAGCTTTTCTTGGTGAGTGATACTTATCTCATCTTTGGTTTTAAAATTCATGTCTTGAAATGATAAAAATATACATTATAAGTTAAAGAGGCATCACATGGTTTGATATTCTTTTGAAAGAAAAAGTGGTGCTTAGGGCATATTGAATGCTTAAAACTGGATCAAGCATTAACTACCATTTTATCTATTTGAAATGGTAAAATGTCTTTGGATTATAGTTTGAGCCAATTGCCTATGATTGGTTTGCGAAACCTTTTATGAAAGAATTATGAAAAATTCCAGATTGTTAACAGAACATTGTTTGATATCTATTAAATTATGAAAAGTTACATATTTTGGTTAGTGAACCTAAGTTTTGAGATGGATTCTAGATTTGATTTGTGGGCTATTGAAGAATGATTGAAGTAGATTATGCTCATGTTGCTATGATTAAAACCCATTGAGAAGTTAAGTATGCATACTATTATCAAGACATCCTTTTAGGTTGAACCACCGGCTCATATAGGTGGAGATCTATCCAGGAGGGAAACTTGGTCGCCTTTGTCACGTGTGGTAAGCCTGGCCAAAGCTAGATATTGAGTATTAGAATAATTAATAGAATTGACCATTGACGTTTGATTTTATAGATATTGATCAATAGAATGGACCATTGATAGTTAATTTGTTATTGTTGATTTGATATCATTGATTGATCTAAAATGTAAGGAGTTTTGTTGAAAAGATATAACCTAATTTTGATATTTTACATATATCATATATTGAATTTTGGATCGATGAGTTATGACATCGTTTTATAAAGATGCAGAGTGAATGTTCGATCTACTTAGAAGAGATATACTACTCACTGAATTGTTATTGTTCATTCAATTCGTCTTACTTGCTTTTCAGGTTCTTTAGCTAGCCGCAAGTAGGACAAGAGCGTTTACGTTACTAGAAAGACATTTTGGTAGTGGGATTATGGGTATGAGTTGTTTATGTATGAGGTGAACTTTCGAGTCTAGTTGTTAGTTGGGGATATACATATCGCTTCGATGGATTATAGAAACTCTAATCTTACTATCCGATAACTCTTTTATCAAATACATAGATGTATATATTTTACTAGCATGTTAAAGATGTTAAAGATGGTTATATTTGAGGCAGCGTCCTTTGGATGGAAGGACGACTCTATCATTGCTCATGTTTTTGTATAGTTGGGGATGTAACAGTTCGCTATGCCAAAACGATTTGCATCATATGCCAATGGCTGTGTGGTTTGAACGAGAAGGACTACCAACGATATTGATTGGCAGGGTTCGAAATTGTGAAAGGAAATGGTGTACGCACATGCATCGTTTTGTGAGAGTACGCGGTTTTAGCAAACGATGCCGCTTGACAGAGCCGGTGAGCGACGATGTCCTTAAGGATGGCAAGATGGTGAAGAAAGGGACGAGGGTGACGCAACATCCAAACCCGATTCTATCCACGTATTTGTCACCTCTAATCATATGCAACGATGATTTCATGACGATTGAAAACATAAAGCGCGAGGATGACGCACGTCTTATCCATGCTGATCCATGCTTGCGTGGTCGTCCTTGTCCAGCACACGAATGGCTGACTAGTTGGAGTTTCTCTGTGGGCTCACGCGGGACCTTTTTGAACAACCTTTTTCTAATATACAAGTATATCTTCCATTGTTACGGTATCATCGATATAATAGTACATTTAAACAAGTAAAACCTTTGACGTAATCGCTCATCACTCATGACGTGGCATTCAGGAACGTGATGAAATCATTATCTCACCTCTTTCACTACATCGAGCTGAGCAGCTCCTGAGGCAAACAATATTCACCATAAACGAAAGATGACCAATGACCGTCCACAGATATGATACTTTGCTCATTTCCTATCTACGGAAGGCCTAACCAAAGAATATCTCCTATCACATTTATTTAACTTTCCTAACTTTTGAGGTCAAGATTTACCCCGTTAGCACTCGATTTTTTCGTGTGAACGAGATAAAGGGTCACGGTCCAACTCATTCCATCCCCGAATTGGTTGGGGATTCCACCCCAAACGACGTCTCAAAAGAGCCTCTGCCTAAGCTCTTATCAATTTAACCCTGTTAATTGCTCGATTTTATTGCAAAATAGTGGACTGTCGCGACATGAAGTGATTAATTAAGGTGGTGGGCCTGGACATAAAAAGGAAAGACGGGTCACGGTCAAGGCAGATCAAGTTGTGAAGGAGAAGAAGCGAAACCGTTTACTGAAGACCGGAGAATTCAGGTCAACATCAACAGCAATTGTTGGAATTCTCGTTCGCCTTTTCCATTGCGATTTAGATTAATACCGTAAAAAATCCTAAATTGATACATTTATGACAAATTTACCTCAAACTAATTTTTCATTTATCTAAAATCACAAACTTGTATATCTATGATAAATTTATCCTCTATTAATTTTCATTAATTTTATCGGCAATTTGTTGAGTCGGATGATACGTAGCAGTTAACAGGTGTTCTAATTTGAGGTTTTACCCCTCTGTTTGTCACATATTTACCAATTTGTGATTTTTCATGGCATTAATTCAATTTAATGAAGAGTAAATTTGTCACAAATGTATAAGTTTGGGATTTTTTATGATTAAAAAATTAGTTTGGGGTAAATTTGTCACACGTGTACCAATTTTGGATTTTTGGTGGTCAAAAAATTAGTTCAGGGTAAATTTATCGCAGGTGTACCAGTTTAAGGTTTTTCGTGGTATTAACCCTCCACAAAATAAACCCCTGAAATTTTGTAATATATAGAATTTTGTTTCAGCTTCAAAGCACCCGAAACCCTAAAAATTAAATAAAAGTTGCACCTTAAAACAGCAAAATCCTTGCTCAGCTTGGTTTTACCTCATCCTGTCCTCAAATACAGAGAAGCCCTTCCAAAATGGTTTACTACGAACCCATTTCGGAAACTGTACCGTGGTATTTAACATTAGAAACGTGAGATATATTGCAACAGTTTATTGAAACGAGATAACTTTAGCATCCCAGAAATCTGTGTCTGTGTGGATACTACCGCTTAAACATGCATTCACCTACCCGCATTAACCCTACATGTCGCAGTGCGAGTTCAGCAGTTCCTCCAACAACTTATCGTCCAGATACTCGAACTCGATCACATCTCTGGATGGCTCGGCGGGAGCTGACACGGCAGACGACGATGAACTTGGCGAAGAGAACGGCGGCGGCGGCGGCGACAGAGATGCGGAGAAAGAACCGCGGTGGCCGGAGACGTAGTGGTCATTCGGAGCGTAGTACTGTTGCTCGTTGGGGAAGTTGAGGATGGCCAAATGGCCCCGGAAGGCGAAGGCGGCCCGGTCGTAGGCGCGAGCGGCCTCCTCCGCCGTCTCAAAGGTCCCGAGCCAGAGGCGCGCGCCATTCCTCGAGGGGTCCCGGATCTCAGCCGCAAACTTGCCCCAGGGCCGCCGCCGGATCCCTCGGTACCGGGGTGGATCGCATCGTGACCGCAATCCCCTCTTGCTCCCGGTCTCTTCGCTGTTCTCGTTGTTCTGATTCCCTCTTGAAGAAGACCCTTCCATGGCCAAGTGAAGGGTAAACTTTGAGAAAATGGATTTCGAATTCGATCGCAAATGATCGATGGAGACTGGTGGGTATATATAGGGTTTGGTCACAGATGAGATCGGAGGCGTTGAAAAGTTCAGGGGAGGTCGTATCTGACGGTGGGGGGTTCGTCTTTGTTATGTCTTCTTGTGAGAAGGTTCCGAGAGAGACGAAACGAATTCGAGTAAGTGGAGAGGCACAGGATGCCTTTTGGAATTCCGATTGGACGAAAGCCCAGGTGACTGTGTGATTGGCCTTATTTTCGAATTTTATATAATCGCTGTGTCTTATCACATGTTTATGTACTGTGGGCCCCGGGTAGGGCATAAGTCAGATACGTGTGCATGCATGTGCATGACTCATTGGATGAGGTAGTAATGTCGCAAGCAATAATCAAAGCATGGATCTGATTTTTTTTTTTTTATCTTTAGTTAGACTGGTAATAGTAAATATTAATCTACACTATTATACAAGGCATACCTTATGCTGGACTCCATGTGAGACTCGTTGTGAGACTCGTTAGGGGTGAGCATGGTCTGGGTGGATGGTCTCCAACATGGAATCAGAAACCGTCCACTAAGGACCGTTCCGAAAAATTGGAACCGGACCAAACCATGGAACCAATCCTAACAAGTTTCACGCAATTGGACGTGACCAAGAGCGAGAGAGGGAGGCGATGAACGGCCATGAGTTGATTGGAGTTGAGAGTTGAGGCCGTGAGTCGATGGGCGTAGAGTTTGAGAGTCAAGATCATGAGTAAGAGATAAAGAGACGACTCAGATAACGTAAGAGAAACGAGACAAGCACCAAGTAGATGAGAGTTGAGCTTCAGATTAGGGATTTTAAAGATTTCATTTTTCTTAAAAAAATTTCTTTTTTTTTTGGTTGGAAATTTTTCTTATAAAGTATTATATGTATTACAGCTCCGGTCCAGGTGGGCGATTCCACGCCTAGAACTAGGAACCGGTCCAGTAGTCACTAGTTCTAGTAAATTGGAATCGGGAACCGAACTGATCCCCACTGGAACCACCGGTTCCGGGCTAGTCCGGTTCCAGACGGTTCCCGATTCCTTTACACACCCCTAAAACTCGTTAGCGCAATTGGCCATGATTAGTCATCAGTCAACTCTTATATCGTGTCCCTTAAGTAAGGGGAAGAAATCATGTATCATCCTTTTATGTTGTGCCTCAATTTGTACTGATATATTGAGGATGCCAACATTTTATCCAACTTAATTGGAAAAAAAAAAATTGGCAATTTTGTTTATCGTATATCACAAATTATATATGATCTCTTTTAACGGTGATGTGGTGGATAGAATCAATCCCTGCACAAGATAATGATGTCTATATAAATTGGTGGCTCTTTAGTATGAAAATAAGTATCGTCTCGATCACAAACTTGTTTGTGTAAGAAATCAGCAATGTTCATGGTGTTTCATAAAAAGATTGTAGGTAAAAATATGTATTATGGATTTTTTTTACCATTAAATTGCTCCAGTTGGATGGCACATAATAGTGGACAGGTGTACTAGTTTGGGGTTTTACGCTTTGTTTGTTATAGGTGTATTTTCATGATATTAATCCAATTTAACAAAAACTATCAGATAGTAAATTTGTCACAAATGTACTAGTTTTGAGTTTTTGATAGTCCAAAAATCAGTTTTGAATAAATTTGTCACAGATGTACTTATTTGGGGTTTTTCATAGTATTAACTCTTTTTAAAAAATATTTAATAGCTACCTTTTTGTTTAATTTTGTATTTATAACTCACCAATGGGAAATTAAACACGAATGTGAACTCTCATGTGGGAATTAGGGAAATCGAGCACAAATGTCTCATGAATGGTATCGAAATCGAATGACGATTCTATGACTGATCAAAAGCATAAGTGCATAGGATGACGCAAGTCCTGTCCATGATGACGCGGTCGTCCTTGTCCAGCCAATTTTGGGAGAGGATCTTGAACGCGCACGAGTGGCTGACTACTAATTGGACTTTCTCTGTGGGCCCCCGTGGGGCCAATTTGAACAACATTTATCTAATACCCAAGTATAATATCGTGGTGTCATCGAAATCATATTAAATCTATGACTTTGACACAATCGCTTATCACTCATGACGTGGCAATCGGAAACATGAAAGCCCTCAACTTTAGGTCACATAAAAGATGGGGTAATTCTCAAAAAAAGCATCAATTTTACCTTGAGTAATAATTTTGGCCCGAACTTTTTTTTTATCTCAACAAAAAGTACAACTTTTACTCAAGTCTCAAATCTGGCTCTCGTGATGTGAAAATTTTAAATGGTTCGGGTCAGATTTAAGATTTAAGTGAAAGTTTATGATTTTTTATGAGATAAACAAAAGTTCGAGCCAGAATTGTTACTCAATTTAAAGTCGGTGCTTTTTTTTTTTGGAATTAGGCCCATAAAAAACCTCCAACTTTTTTTTGTCTCATAAAAACCCCTCAACTTTAGGTTTGGTACCAATTCTACTATAAACTTTTATTGTCCCATAAAAAACCCTCAACTTTAGGTCATCCCAATTCGTCCATAAACATTTTTTTTGTCCTATGAAAATCCCCCAACTTTAGGTCTTGTCCCAATTTTACCATTCAGTACCAATTTTACCCTAAAATTTTTATAGTCTCATAAAAACCATAAATTTTTACTTGAGTTACAAATTTATCCCTATTAACCTTCCATCTAAAATTTCTCATTGACAATCAAGAGATTAAAACTCACAAGCATGATTTGTTCCAACGTCCCAAATGCGAGCTCTTCAACCACAAGAGATGGAACATACCCAAGTACGAGAGGTCGACGAGTGCAAAATTACAAAGGGCAATTTTGACGGAGAGTTAATGGATAGCATATTTGGGACTCAAGTTAAAGTTGGTGATCTTTTATGAGATAAAAAAATTAGAGTGAAATTGAAACTGGACCTAAAGTTAGGAATTTTTTATGAGACAAAAAAAAAGTTTATGGTAAAATTTGAGACTTTTTATGAAACAAAAAAGAAATTGAGGGTAGAATTGAGGCTGAATCAAAAGCTGGGGTTTTTTATGGGACAAAGAAAAGTTTATGATAGAATTGGGATATGACATAAAGTTGAAAATTTTGTAGGAGACAAATAGTAAAATTGGGACAAGAGTTAAAGTTAAAAGTTTTTTAGGGTATTTGGCCTTAAAAATGTGGGCATATGCCTACTAATCTTCATTAATTACAAATTAACATAACATCTCAAATCAAATTCTCCTCCTTCCTCCCCCTATCTCTCTCTACCGCGTCCCTTATCACCATTGTAACTCTTACCTCTGGTGGCCAACAACAATTGATATAAATGTTTAATGAGGATTTTGAAAATAGGAATGTACTTTTTTTTTCTTGAATATGTAATAACTACCTTTTTATTTAATATTCTATTTATAACTCACCAACGGGAAATCAAGCACAAATGTCTCATTAATTGAATCGAATGACGATTCTATGACTGATAAAAAACATAAGCGCATAGGATGACGCAAGTCCTGTCCATGATGACGCGGTCGTCCTTGTCCACCCAGTTTTGGGAGAGAGGCTCTGAACGCACACTAGTGGCTGCCTAATTAGTCTTCCTCTCTGTGCCCCCGTGGGGCCAATTTATTTGAACAACCTTTTTTTTTCTAAATTAATATCACAAAAAACCGGGTATACTTATAGTAAATTTATCCGAAATTAATTTTTTGACCATACAAAATACCAAATTGGTTCGTCTGTGATAAATTTACCTCAAATTAATTTTTTGTCTACTAAAAACCTCAAACTTGTACATTTGTAACGAATTTACCTTCTGTTAAATTGAATTCATACAAAAAAAACTATAAATTGGTACATTTGTGACAAATGGAGGGTAAAATCTCAAAATGGTACATCCGTTAATTATCACGTGTCATCTAGCTCAGAAATTTGATGGTAAAATTTAACGAAAACTAACGAAGAGTAAAATTGTCATAATTGTACCAATTTAGAGTTTTTGATAGTCAAAAAATTAGTTTGAGGTAAATTTGTCACATGTGTAATAGTTTGGAGTTTTTCGTGATATTAATCATTTTTTTAATACACAAGTATATGTTCCAACACACAATGGTATCATCGAGATCGTATTAAATTTTAAGTTCCCTTTTTTCATAAAAAAATAAATGATTTACAAAATATTTTTAAAAAAATAATTGGTTATATCGCTTACAAAATGAACAAATGAAAAATATTATCACTATTAACGAAAATATTTAGGCATAAATTATTATCAATAATGATAATATTTTTTATTTGACTAATTATTTCAAACGATATAAATGATCATTTTAAAAAATACATTTTAAAATTATTTATTTTTCATGAAATAAATAAAAACATTTACATCTCTTAGACAAAATCCCTCGTCACTCATGACGTGGCACTCGGGCATGTGACGGAATCATTGTGTCACTCTTCCACTGCATCGATTATGTCCTTCTGTAATGTTACGGTAATTTGCTTTTGATTATTGAGGATTTGGAATGTCCTTTACTTTCAAATTTTTGATGTTTTTCACATGAAATTTGTCTTTTATTATATTAAACCTATATAAGATGAGCCATATGGAGATTTACTAATTTTGGCGAAGCAAACAATTTTTTGAAGTGTATTGGTTAAGGCTTCACGGTAGCTAGATGTGGTGATTTGACGGCTTGGATCGATCTCAATTTGGTATGTCGCAATTTCGAATCCTATTTGGATGTGGGCCAATTCAATTTATACGATTCAAGTACATACCCAGTTTGATTTGGGTCAATGCAAGCTCGGCTCATTTCAAATTGTTTGATATCCTGATGCAACGGATGTGATTCGAGTCATTGCTAATTTCAGATTGTGTCGAATTTCAAATATAGTTCACATGAAAATCAATTTCGATTTAAGTGATGTTGAGTCAGTTATTATATATATTCTACTTTGAACCGAGAGGTCAACTCTTTCAAAT